AGCAAAGGGTCTGAATACTTATGACCATGTGATATTTCAGTTTTTCTTTTTTAATAAATCTGCAAAAATGTCAAAACTTCTGTGTTTTTCTGTCAATATGGGGTGCTGTGTGTACATTAATGAGGAAAAAAATGAACTTAAATGATTTTAGCATATGGCTGCAATATAACAAAGAGTGAAAAATTTAAGGGGGTCTGAATACTTTCCATACCCACTGTATGTAGCTCTCCTGTGATTATGTGGTAGTGATTAGGGAACCACACATCCAAACTGTCAAAGTTCCAGCCAGATGGGAACTCACTTCTTTTAACAGAAAAATGCAGAAGGGCAAATCCAAAAGCCTACAAACCGGTAGTTGCAAAGCCAGCAGCTTACAAAACAAACTGCTGTACATGGTCATGTAATGCCCCTTTTTGAGTAACATAAGCATAGAATAGATAACACCCCAGTCATGTCGGAGGACACCTGTCTTCTTGCCATTTGATCAAACATAAGATCAAAATTATATAGAATACATGGTACCAACTAAACAGTGGTGGAAAATGTGGTTAGAAGGTTAGTTAAGTGTGTATAAAGTATATTTATTTATTTTCAACCTCCATTTTCCAAGCACACAAGTTTATGAATGAAAATGATTGAACTTTCGTTTATTGAGAAATTAAACTGGTCTCTTCAAACAATCGCTGTGACACAGTTGTCTCTGACAGGTAATTTGGATTTAATAATAGTCTGGCATTCAGACTTGGCAGACAGCAGTTAGAGCAACATGGATGAATTCCAAATAAGGCTTCTGTAGCAAATAAAGGTAAAAATCTGTTTTACTTGATGAGAAGTTCAGATTATGACATGAGCATAATGCAGAGATCAAGCATCACCAAATCACAGCAGCAAGCATCTGTAACAATAACTGGAATTTAGCCTCAGTATCTGTACTATCTTTTACTTTGCTGACGTAGTAATGATGATGATGAAAACAATGAACAGGATGCAACCCAGGACAGTTGCTGCAATGTTGAGGTTGCGGGCAGTTGAGCCATAACCTTGGGCACCTTGCAGATCTCCAGCCATCTTCCGGTCTCTGGACTGAAGGGACAAAAGCAGAAATCATAATCTCCAGCAAAACTTTCGATATAGTTTCATGTGGCAGATTAAGTTTCTTTCTCTCTTTAACATTTATTCTCCCATTCTGACATGCAGTTTTGATTGAATAGTCATTTTAGCTCTGAATGCAACATCGTTTAGGATACCAGGTCAAATGGTTTGGTAGGCACGAAGACGATGACTAGGAGGTGATTGCGAACAGAACGTGAGATGCAGTGCAGTTGTTTATGAGCAGTTTTTCTTCCATGGAAAATATAGTGATCTCACATTTGGTAGACTGCCCTGCTGTTTACATGAAAAATCTAACTCTCTACTGTAAATATTATAGGATGATTTTATAAATATCTACACAATCTGAACCTTAGCAGAAAATTTAACCAGAAGCGTGTTCTCCAAAACTGTGCCCTCAATCTACAGCTTATAAAATGCATTAACATGACAAAACATGTCAGATATTCTGAATCAAAATATTACCTGTATATTGAAATACTTCTTTGCAGTGCTTATCTAAATGCATAACCCACATTAATCGCAGTGTTTGCAATTTTCCAAGCTTGCTGTTGGATTTCTATGCTAAATTTTAGATTCAGGAGCTCTCCACAAAGATGGGGCAGTACAGCGGAAACAAAAGCAGAACTTGACAAATAACATGTTAAGTTTATCTATTAGAAAAGGCCTAAAATCTTATGTAGTGGGGATCAGGTTAGATTGGCAGATCTTAATAAAGTGGGGGGAAAAAAAACTCTTGTTAAATATATGTTGCATGAATAATTTACAAGCAATACAGAACTGTTGCACAAAAACTTACTTTGATAGAGTAGATAAGAGCCGCTAGTCCAAGGCAGAAAGGGTTTGAGTAGACAAAGCAGCAGAGGGACCAGATGATGTGGTCTTTGGGGGGATCAGTGCTGATGCTCACAGTGGTGTACTGAACCCTTGTCGATGTTGCAGGTTGTCCAGTGAACCCATCGTTCCTCCCCATCTGCGCTGGGACACTTTCAGCCTGGTAACCTGGAGGATTCATCGCCCTCAGCTCGACTGTAGTTTAGAATGAAGAAATGTGCTGAAGTCTCACGCATGTGTTGATTTCCTTTGGAATATTTTGGGGTTATACTTACCAGCAGCCAATGAAACAAATGCCACATGAACAACCCAGTGTGATTACACAACATGCATGCAGTAGATGGCTTTTTGTCTTTTAAAAGAAGTCTTGAGTAATTTGCAGGTTTAATTCAGAAACAGAAATGCTGTTAAACAGGACATTGAACAGTTTCCATTAATGACATTTCTAAAAGTAAACCTAAGGGACAAAAAGAAAAACTGCTGCCAGATGTATAAATTGGTTCTTTGTTATATTTTGAGCCATTTTAGAGGCTGGTGAGATTGCGATGACCAACACCTGGCATCCAGAAATCAACCAGTATTTAAGAACTTAAACAAATTAACTGATTAGTTGACTTAAGGAAATTAATTGGCATCAAGTTGGAAAAGTAATTGTTTTTGAATTTTTTTTTTTTTTTTTTTTTTTCTTGCTCCCGCTCCCATGTGCATATTAGCTAATCTTCTAAGTTTTCTGTGATAGTAAACTCAATGTCTCTGTACGCTTGACAGCTGTTCAGGCAAAACAAGTATTTCCCTGAGCTCCAGGGAACTGTACTGGGAATGTTCCTTTATTTTACACACTGAACAATCGATTGATTATTAAAAAAAATAATTGTCAAACCTTTTGAGAATAAAAATAATTGTTGGTTGGAACCAATGCTTCTATGGAATTCTACTAGTCCCCAGTGTCACCAGAGAGGCTCTGTGGAATCGGCATGAAATTTTGTTTCCCAGAGGATGAATGATGGTGCTGTAGTGGCTAAAAACAAATGTTTGGAGACGTTTGTGCATGGGGCCCGTGGGAACTAGTAGCTTGTTCAAGCAGGAACATTCTGGTTAGTGTCCTCTTTGTTTAGTTTATGGGTTCATCTTGTGAATGAACATCTAGAGAGCAGCTTCCCTTAAGTGGGAGGCTGAAGAACTGGGGTTGAGAAATGACGTAAGAGCCAGAAAGAACGTGAACATTATGAGGGGCATTAAAAAACAAACAAAAAAACAAAAACTAATGAATCAGACATTAAGGGCACACACAGAAGACGGACGGAATAGGGGAAAGCGGGGAGACGGGACCGACCTGACTTGAATGACTGGACTGTATGACCAAAAATGACTGACTCTGTGGCAATCTTCTTATCCAATACTTTTATTTATTTCTCTGCAGAGATGGTGATTCTATCCCCTATCTTTCAGATGATTGAACTGCCTTTCAAATTATTGAACTTAGAATTATTGTAATAACAAATAATCATTGGAATGATTTGCCTGAACCAATTTAGTTCACATCAGACCTCGGCAACCACAATGCCTTGACTTCCCTACTTAATACTTTGGTCTATGACTAAATACCTACAAACATGACAACATCGCACTGCAACTGCAGTGGATTTACCGTTCTGACATTAGCGTTTCAGGAAGCAGGGATATTGCTTTAGCGTTGTGCCATGTCCCAGCCCCATACCACATTCTGACTCAAAGCACTTTTGTGTATGTGGTGTGTTCACACTAACAAAATGAATCAGTCATTATGTATATTTGATTTTGTCAATTTAAACTTTGAGTTGCTCAAAGGTAAATTAAGTAAATAAATGAATTGTGGGAAGTGGCCAACGGTTCCAAAAAAAAAAAAAAAAAAAAGGCATCTTTGAAAACGAATTCTCTTAATGTGAAAAGATTGTTTAATTTTTTTATTTTTTTACTGCTCAGAGTACTAGTGTAGATGGTTAATAGAATAATACATTTTATTTGTACTTATCTTAGTTTTTGCTTTTGTTTTTAGGGTGATGATGTAGATACATCTGTATACAACTGGACCAAAGAGCCTAAAACAGAGGTAAGTTGATGTTGGGTAGTTCAGAACCTGATGGATGTTTTACAGGAGCGTAGATTCAAACGCTTAAAGGCCAGCAGATAACCCAATGTATTACAAAACAAGCAGGCCAGGTCATGAACAGAAAACTCTGCTGTTTTAGCAGGAAGCCATATTACAGGAAAGTGGTTTTAATCTGTTTCACTTCACATGTAGCATTAAAATATCCACATGTGCTCAAGCAGAGGAAATTACAAATGAGATAAATGAATGAATACAAATTACAACAGGAAAATTAATACAGGCACTGAATACACATCTAATCTGAAACAGTTTCACAACTTGAACGTTAAAAAAATCTGTTGCATTCGGATCAAGAACACGAGTTTCTACATACACAATAGCAGGTTAATGATATTCTGAAATGTTTCAGGATCTTTGGAGAGTAGTCTGAATATCTGTCTCACCGAAGTTCATTTTTAGGATGTCATGTCACTTTCAGCCTGTGACCACAAACTCCGTCAGATTCCGTAATATGCTGTTTATCCCCAAAGAAACCATGGGTCATTTAACGGGAAAGTGTAACAGGCCTGTTAGTATTCTAAGCCTTATCTTATCCGGATTCATTTGTAGAGCCTGGACCAGTACAGAAATTTCCTGTATATGTATTCATTTTATGCCTGACAAGATGCAGTGTTTCTATTTTCTCAGAGATGTCCACTGTACTCTACACCGGAATCTGTCTGGGCGCCAAGTATTAAAATAGGTATCAAAATAGGGTGAATAAGAACGTGTAGTGAAATCAATGACAAAGTTTTCCAAAACCAAGCAGAAATTCATTAGGTTAAAGTCAGCTGTATTGTCTGTACAAACAAAACAGGCACAGAAGAGATTTAGTAAAAGAATTTCATATCTTGAAACTTGCTTTTCATGAATTACACATCTGATGAGAAATGCAGAAGGTGAAGTTTGCCATTTCTGCTAGTTTTTCTAATTGTGACCACTACCTATACTGAAAACAAAAACACCACCAAAGCAACAAGCCAGTTCTACACAACAAAACCAGGTGGTATTTTACCAGCCTGAACCAACCTAAAAAAATCAGACACTGTATATTTTGGGCATGACATTCCTTAGAATTATTTGAATGTTTAAAATCTATTTCAGTAAGTATTACTTTCAGTAAGTATTTCAGTCTTAGCACTGGCAATTGGTAAATTGAGTCTAATCTTTATACTGATAGTAAAATGAGGTTAAAGAGCCCATGGCATGCTTTTCCTTGTTTTCTGACTTATCTATAATGTTACAACAGTGAATTATCATCTTAGGTGAGAGAGAGAAAAAAAAAAAAAAAAAAAAAAGATTTCCTTGAATATTGTTTATCCCCAGGCCGTTGCACGTTCATGTGAGTTTGCCTGACATCCACCGGTGTCATTGTAAAAGCTGAATTTTTCGACTGCGTCTGGTTTTGTGGATATATTTTACCCCCTGCTGCACTGTGATCAGTGGATGTGGAGAAAAATACAGGGCCTGAGGTTACTGCATGTCCAGGAAGCAGTCGGCCAGTTTAACACCCTGGTGCGGTGAATGATCAGCGCTGGATTCCCCCAGAACACAGTACCTGTTTGTTTTGACTGCTTGAGGCCAGTGTGTCTGTCATGTGATGTGTTGCAGGTTAACAAGTGGATTAACGACCCATGATGTTATTGTTGGCGCTACATTACCTGTTGGAATTAATTTCACTAGTTTGGGACTATGTGGTCGTGTGGGGGAGGACGTAGTGACCACCGGTTCGATTTACTGAGGTTGGAGCTGCTTGGGAGTGAAGTTTCTACTACTCAGTGGGACTTAAACGGTACGTTTAAAAAAACAAAACAAAAAAAAAAAAAACAAACACGGTGCATGTCTGTTAATGCCTTGTCTCTGTAATGTTAGAATTGTTGTAAGGCTGGAGAAGTTACAGTACATCTGCATTATGCCAGTTAAAATATGGGGTTTCTCAACTACCCGCTTTGTTTAGAGCAGGGGTGTCGATATCAAATCACACAAGGGCCTGAAAATTAAACCACAATCACAGTTGCGGGCCAAACAGCTCTGAAAATGTATTGTTCATTGTCAAACTGACAATGATTTAACCAGAAATATGAACTTTAACAGACGGCAACAACTTTTTCCTCAATAAAATAAATTAGACAATTTCAATTCAACATATTTTTTCCTCAACAATAACAACAAGCCAGCATAATGTTTGCTGTAGCTTTTTTGCATATTTCCTGCTGCAACTGCAGTCTGTCTTTTAATTGACAAATTGTTGTTTTTCTTGAAGGCTAAATTAGCATACTTAGCTCCGTGTTTGGTCTCAAAATGCCAACGCATGTTGTAGTACACCACCAACGCCTCATGACACACGAAACACACGGGTTTTGTCCTTGAAGCAGAAACATATATTCACTTTCCCACCTTTCGTTAAACTGCCTTCCTTCTGCATCAACCTTTCTCTTCTTGGACATTTTGGGATTAATTGTTGGTATTTCTCATTTCCCCTTGTCGGGAAGTTGCTGGTTAAATGTGGAAGGCTAAACACTGCCGTCCAGTGGTGGGATGCCAATACTTCGCGGCTCCCAAAATCAACATGCATTGTGGGTGATGTAGTTTATGGTCAGTGTACATTTTTAATTGGTATAGACTTTTATTTTAAGACAACCATACGCATTTTAAGCTTTTGAGGGCCACATAAAATGATTCGGCCGTTGTTTACTTATCTATGGAGGAGATATTCATATTAATTAATGCTGTTGTGGTTCGTTGTGCTGTCCACTTTCCTATTCTGGCTTGACTATGTCATGTAGTATTTTAGGTATTGTCATTGTTGAAAATATAGCTCATTTGTCAGTGTTTGCTTCCCCCCCCCCCCCCAAACTCTGTTTCATGTAGTGCCCCCCTAGTTGGTTGCGGTTATAATGTTTGGGGGAACAGATTTCAACAACGCCAGCAACAGGAGCTGTGTGCATTCACAAACTATCCTCTCATATTTAGGAAGAGACTTTATTGTTCTGAAATAATTACACTATTTGGCGTTATGATGGATGCAAAGCTAATCTTGAGGTACTCACAATTAAACAATAAATTGCTGGAAATGAGCATGCCATGGGCACTTTAAGTGCATTTGTTCTCAGAGATGGAAGTTTAAGGCATCACATCTTGGAGGATGCAGCAATGGCAGAGGCTCCTGAACGGCTGTAAACATGCACAGTTGTGTTCTGAGAAAGAAAGTGGGAGAGAGACAGAAAGACGGCATTAGCTATTTAAATGTACAGAATCTTCACAGCATAGAGAACAATTAGATGTCGTACAGTATACTGACAACAGAAACAAAGCAACGCTTATTTTTAAACTTGTCTTTTGGAACCGAAAAGAGATGCTACAAACATATCGTCTACGGAATACACAGTACTCAGTTTGGGTTTAAAATGTTTTAGGATGAAGCTGTTGAATATTTTTGTAGTACCTCTTTTCAGCGTTGCGCTCTGTAGACAGTCCCTGTACAGCCATCTCACAGCCAGCTGAGCATATGCTAGGTTGTAGCTTACGCATTAGGTTGTAGCTTGTCTGAATGCCTTACTACAGTAAAGAGGCGTTGTTTGTGTTTGCAACAATTTTCTAGGAGAAACGGTGTGTTATCTGACAAATGCAGAAGTGCCAATATTTTTGGCCATGACTGTACATGGCAACTACATTTACCTTCTTGGCCTCTGCATTGTACTTGTTGAGAAGGGTCTGAACCTTGTTTCCGTAGTCTGGATGGACAGCATTCAGGTTCTCAACCTGCAGGAAGAAATGAGATTTACAGGTCCTAAAAACATAATTCTTACAGTATATAAACTATTGTCTGCCAAAGCTAGAGCCAGTTTGTTTCTTTGCATCAGAGATTTCTGCATTTCATTTTATGCATCTGCCCCTGCAATAGCTACGGCCGGGGGTGCTGTGTGATTTCTAAGGAACGCCTTAAGAGAATTTCTTCAAATGTCCACTTGGGTTCAAGGATAAACTGAAATTTTGGTGCTTAAAGTCAGTGACCTCATGTCTGTCCATTCCTGTGAATTTGACTGGTTGGCAGAGGCATGTACAGTGAGGAACAAAAGTATTTGAACACCCTGCGATTTTGCAAGTTCTCCCACTTAGAAATCATGGAGGGGTCTGAAATTCACATTGTAGGTGCATTCCCACTCTGAGAGACAGAATTTTAAAAAAAAATTCAGGAAATCACATTGTATGATTTTTAAAGAATTTATTTGTCTTGCACTGCTGAACATAAGTATTTGAACACCTGAGAAAATCTGTGTTAATATTTGGTACAGAAACCTTTGTTTGCAATTACAGAGGTCAAACGTTTCCTGTAGTTCTTGACCAGGTTTGCACACACTGCAACAGGGATTTTGGCCC